AAATAGATTATGTAGTTTATGTTATTTAAGAGAAATTGGCGACGAATTTCATTATCTGTTTACATGTACACATCAACCAATTCTCAATAGTAGGCGAAAACATATGTCCAGATATTATTATGAACGACCAAACACATTTAAATATCATACATTATTCAATTATGTAACACAACATGAATTGACATCATTGGCTAAATTTATTACCAATATTAATGACATAATTAATTTACAATACTAATGTCCATCCTGTTCCACCATGTATTATTGTCACCCATATTTGTATATATGTATTCTCTACACTTTATTGTTATTGTTTATGAGAATAAAAACAATTGTCAATTATCATGAAATGAACTCTACCTTCGAAATAACACTATACCTATATACCTAATCCCAATACTTGGAATAGTCCTCTCCCAACTGATAGTGTGATCACCACACCGTGACATTAGAACAATAAGATAGGGTAGAGTCAGTACGGTGAGTCTTGACCCCTGACCTGACTGGAGACCCTATTAATATATATAAAGAATGGAGGAGTAATCCCCTATTGTTTAGTGTATAAGTAGTGGACTCCTTGTTTGGGCAACACCCTTAGGCATATATAGATATTCAAACTGCTGCCAAGGGGAAGCCATAGAAAATCATAGTTCAAGGGATGGTTGATATTAGAAGGAAATCCCATATGAAATAGAGGAAAACTTCAACACCCTGGGTCCAGATTATTTTTTGACACATAAAAAAGAGTTTTGCCCGGGCAACTAGGGCAATACCCCTGAGTCCCGCCACTGAATGAAAAAAAAACGGTAAATGGATGGATCAACATGTGATGTATTAGACAGTGACAGCTATCAGGAGGATAGCACACGGTGCCCGTGCTTTCCTGTTGGTAGCTCCACAAAAAATAAATCCTACATAGTGATATGGCAGCGAGATCGTCGGTACTTCCCCCTCCTTCATGTCCCCAGGGAGTATCCTTCTATACTGCCAGGACACCTGGTCAACAGGCCAACTATCTTGAGCAATTGAACCATAAAGTGATACCAGGGACGTATAGTGAAGCTCTATATACTGTCCCTGGTGATGCATAACCTTTTCCTGGACAGTATATCTTATGTCTTATGTTCTATATTTTCATGTTTGTGCATTTTCAGATCATGTTCGTATGTACATTTATGTATTTTATGCAAAATTGACATGTGACACTTTTAATAAAATAAATTGTATTGTGTTCAAGGGGCGTTCTCGTAGCCCTAAGAACAACGAAGAAAAATATTGATATAGGAAAACAAAGGGAAACCAATCATAGTCAGTTTCACACTAACCCCACAGGTCACACAGGTAAGTTTGTAATCAGCTTACCTGTAAAACGTTATTGTAGATTTCCTGCTCATGTGATATATCAAATGTTAAGGGAATTTATTTGTGTAGATATATCAATTTTCAAGTTCATTTTTGGGTAAACAATTAAAAAATGATTTAAAGACAATACCTGTACATAGAAAGGGTGACCTAACTGACCCTAACAATTTAAGGGGTGTTAGGATACTATAGTAAGATGTTCGGGAAAATGATTCACTTCTGTTTCAAATAATAGACTTTTAAAATGGTCAGAAAAATATGATGTAATAATTGATGCTAAATCTGGGTTTAGACCTGGCCTTAGTACAGTAGATGCTATATTTTGTTTACACTGTATTATATCCAAATCATTTATTAATAAGAAAATATTGTATTGTTGCTTTGTCGATTTTCGTAAAGCATTTGATAATGTAGATAGAATAAGTTTATGGAATAAGCTATCTAAACTTGGTATATGTGGAAAGCTCCTTAAAGTTGTAAAGTACATGTACTCTCATGTTAAATATCGTGTTAAATTAGATGGTTTGTCTGATTTTTTTTCTTAACATGGTTGGATTATAATAAGGTGAAATTTTGTCACCGATAATTTTTTCTCTGTATATATATGATTTTGAATCATATTTTATACAAAATTGCAAGGATAGTTATGAGTTTGAGGAACTCAGTTTATATCTGATGCTATATGCTGATGATCTAGTATTATTCTACGAGACTGTAGAAGGTCTCCAAGATATGCTTGAAAATTTAGAAAAACATTGTACTGAATGGAATTAAACTGTAAATGCTGAAAAAAAACTAATATTTTAGAAAAGGTAGAAGATTACATAATGATGAACAATGGTATTACAAAGGAAGTAAGGTTGAATGTGTGGATCAATTTCCTTACCTAGGTGTTATTCTAAATTACAATAATAAATTCACTTCTATACAAAAACAATTAGCTATCCAAGGTTTGTTTGTTTGTTTGTTTATGTTTAACGGCCCATCGACGGCTGTGGTCATTTAGGGCCATGGTGATTTATTTATTTATTTAGCTATCCAAGGACGAAAATCTATGTTTGCATTATTTTCAAAATGTTCATCTGCCAAATCTGCCAATAACAACATGGTATATCTTGAATTTGGACGGTTACCTAGTCAGGTTGAGAAAAATAAGAATGATAAAATATTGGTTTAAGATCTTAAAATCTGAAATTTGTTTTATATCCACTTCATATGGATTTTTATTACAATGTTGTAGTAAATAAAAAAAATCAACTGGGCTATAGCAGTAAGAGATGCATTAAGTAATCTAGGTCTTAGTGATGTTTGTTTATATCCATGTATTTCTCAGCAAAATTTGTTATTACCATGATTGATAAAACAAAGAATTTTTGATCAAGGCATACTCTTCCAAAGGGCCACAGTGGAAAACTCTCCTAAATGCTTATTGTATCAACGTATCATAGATTTTTGAGAATCATTACAATTTTACCCCATAAAATATATACCAAAGAAATATCGCATTTGTTTAACTCGAATTCCGTACATCTACCCATTCTTTGGCTGTAGAAGTTGGAAGGTATAATAATATACCTAGAGAACGTAGATATTGTAAACAGTGTAACTCCCCCCTATGAAGTAGAGGGCAAATTACATTTTTTTATTGGTCTGTTCTAAATTCCAAAATCTCAGATCCCATTTTATCAAAAGCTATTATTGAAAAAAAGCATCTGTGTTTAAAGTCGTTCAGTTGTTGAGTGTCCAGAATTGTGTCTACAAGGAAAAATTCCTCTATGAGGCAAACAAATTAAGGGTATTATAATGGAATATGATTGTCTTCATTCTCTGTACATTGTCCATGATTTGTGTATTGTATACTGATGGGCCAATGGCCTAAAGTCTGAATAAAACTTGAACTTGACTATAAAGACAACTAATTTTCTATTAAATATCAAATGAGACGAGCTCTGATACGCATGCCCGATTTCATACCTTTATGAGGGTCCCGGACGGATCAGCTGTTAAGGCAACGCTGAGAAACGTTAATGCAAGCACACAACTTGTACTTTTACAGCTATTTTTCTTTAAATAAAAATTAAATGGTTAATAAGGAAAAGGTTTTATGAAAATGACAATAAACAACAGTGATTATAGCCAGCAATTAAAATGACAAATATGTAGTTCAAAATAATAATAATTGGCATTCATTTGTGATAGATGCAACTGGAGAACTTTCGGATTATGCTCTTATGGATCATTATCCGGATTTTACCATGTCCCCTACTTTGCACAGCTCTTTGTTTCCGGTGGTTTTCTAGCATGGCGAGTCACGGCAGAACTCACGGTTGGCCCAAACAGAGCGCCAATTCAGCATCGTATGCAGCGAAATATGGCATCACACATCCATCAACGACACTGGACAGACCCATCGATCTGTAAGAATCAAAAGATTATCGACTTCACGAGTGCATCATTGAAATCGAAACGAAACACTCAGCTGTAAACAAACCGGCAAATGACGCTTGCCCATAATGATATTGTTGATAAGTCATTTACATCTGTATAACGTTTAATCGTTTCCTTTTTTGAGAAGACACTGATTCTTTTTATTAATCTGTATTCATCTAATCAAAAGCATTAGCCCACTAGCTTAGATGAACACTGAAATGTTCAAAATTTAAACGCCAAAAATAACATTTCTTGGCGGGGAAATTCGTAAACATCTTTATGCCTATAACGAAAGTGCTTTAGTTGTAGATGCGTACTGATTTCTAATTAAATGCAATGTTATCCAAACCTTCTTAAACGCATAAGCGCTGCATTTGTATTTTTCAATTGTAAATTAAATGTGTATATAATCGGGTAACTGATCCAGTTATATTAAAAAACTGAGCTAGGCTGGTTTTAGAACTAATATTAATACCCGGCCTCCTCTGCCCCGGCCGGGTATTTAATCAATCCCATGCCTTGTAATGGAGCAAGCCCGGTGTGAATTACACCGGGGCGATTTTAGAATTAATTGACCTTACATTGGTCCGCATCCATAAATAGGGTTGTAGTATGAACTATTTCTGTTGATATCCTGCACAACCTGAAGTTAAACTCTGCCTAAAATGTTGTTAACCTATCAAGTTAATGTAGCAAGCGCAATCGAAATCTGAATTGACCGCCGTGTTGGAAAGTTCGTATCTTTTCCGATATAGGTCAGACGTCCAAATATGGGTGTCATAATCCAATAAGGAAATTGCAGTAATCATGGCAACATCAGTAGTAATACTGATTTGGCCATGCAGGCCATATATAGAAAGGATAATTGAGATAACATCACACGTGATCTGTCATGGCGGTCGTTTCTATTATTTTCCCCAAGATGGACTTGGTTAATTTTGTAAAAGAGTTTTTGCATGGGTAAGGATTTGTTTTTTCAATAATTATGCAATATTTTGATAAGGCGTGTATTAGATGCAATCTTACAGATTATCACTTTTGATTTTGCTCCATTAGTCGGCATAGGACCGCTTCGTAGCTCTGACGACGCAATATATAAAAAAATCCTCGTCGTCAGAAAGCTACGTTACTTCCTGTATTAAATAACTAAGGTTTCAATAGGATTTCAAGTTCCCCAATTATTACCATAGAAATAGCATGAATGCCAGTCCATTTTCCAATTTTTGTGTCCCCGCAAAAAATGTGACACCCTTTGTACCTGAGTAAGTATGAACAATAGCTAGGAAATGAAACATTATGTAAGTCTGGACAAATAACAAAAGAAAAAGGCTCAAGAAACCTACACCCTGTCTACAAACAAACCCTAACATTTTGCTTTCCTACCAACTTGGCTAGGGAGATTTTCTCTCAAGCTCATTTGGTAGAGCGTGCATAAGACTAGTAAACGAGAGGTCCTGGATTTGACCCCTAGTAGAGGCATTGAAAAAATTTCCTCGTTTATGTTGTCACCCACATAGGGACTCACTCTGTTGAGTATAAGACTAGTAAACCAGAGGTCCTGGGTTGGACCCCTAGTAGATGTTGTCATCCACCTAGGGACTCATTCTGTTGAGTGTAAGACTAGTAAACCATAGGTCCTGGGTTGGACCTGCAGCAGGAGCATTGAAAATATTATGACCTCTGTTGCATGTGCACATTTTGTAGGTGGTTTTTCAATTATCACTGTGTTTATTATTATGCTATATTTTTCTTTCTAGGTATCCATTGACAAATTACACATTTGGAACAAAGGAGCCCCTGTATGAGAAAGACAGTTCAGTTCCAGCACGATTTGCTAGGATGAGGGAGGATTTTGACAAGATCGGGATGCGGCGGTCCGTGGAAGGGGTCCTTATTGTACACGAACATGGGCTCCCTCACGTCCTTCTCCTCCAGCTTGGCACGACCTTTTTCAAATTGTAAGTAGCAGTAGAGCCAGTGTTTTCCCCCCGTTAATTTGGGATGAGACCTGTTTTGTCTCATTTTGGTAGAACATGTACCAGTTGGGAAGGAAATTTTCAGGAATATACTTCAAATTTTTGGGAATTAGGCATAAATATGTAATAGTTTCAATTGGGAATGGGGCCCAATTATAGGCTCCAAAAAAGTCCACAGAAAAAACCCATTGAGTGTGGACAGTCCATTACACTGAATACAGAAATGATTTAAGATTCATCAGTTGTATCAGATTCAGATTTTTACAAGGGAACAGTAGGGATTATAAGTTGGGATAGAAAAATCACTTGAATTTAAATTTTGTAAGACTCCAGTTATTTATAGTATACTGAAAAGATTGTTTTTTTCCACTGATTTCTAATTTTCATGTGAAAAAACAGCTCTCCAGATTAGAAGGAATTCCTGAAAGAAATCTGGAAAAAAAATTCCCACGAAATTGACCATATCAGCAAATATGCATTAATGTTTTGACTACAGGTAAAAATTCAGTGGGGCTAGAACAGGATTCGAACCCTGAACCTAACATCAGTATTATTTTGCTCTAACTGTCTAATCGTGAGCTTCCTGGTCAACAGAATTGAAGTGGGGCAGGGATCCTTAAGTCTCATGTTGCATACTGTATGGCTTGTTAATGTGTTTTGTAGACCTGGAGGTGAACTGAATGCACAAGAAGATCAAGTGGAAGGCCTGAAACGTTTATTGACAGAGGTATTTATATTGGTTATTAGCCCATTCACCCCTAAAGTCACATTTGAACCTTACCAAATCAAAGACTTGGCAAGTCCAGTTTAAATATGTAGGAATGAATGAGTTAACACAAATCCTTGTAAGTGATCTAAAAATAAATTAATTGTGTAAGTAAATTTTTCTTAATATGTTTCTTTTTATTGTTTCCAACTTTAGCCTTATCATTGGTTTGAGGCCTATGTGGTGCAGTCGCCAAGTACTGGCCGTAGGTCAGTGGTTTTTCTCTGGGTACTCCAACTTTCCTCCACCACCAAAACCTGACTCTTCCTTAAATTAACGTAGCTGTTAATAGGACGTAAAACACAAAACATATTACAAGATTTTGTTAGATAAGGAAACTGCTTAGATGCTTGATAAGGATTCAGTGCATATTAAGGAAACAGAACTGTTTGTTGTAAAGGTGTCACGATTCACCGCGATGCACTTGTACCGCGATTATTTATGTTCGATTCGATTCACGATATATTTTTTCCGGATTTTCGATACGTCACGATCTGAATATTAGTGTATGCTGCTTCAGCCGAAACATCTGTGATACGTTCAATTTCATTGGCTGATCTCTAAACCCTCAGCCAATTGGCTGCGAGGATATAATTTTCACAAAGTATTCATAACAAAATGGCGGACCGCGGTAAGGAAATGAAAATTTTTGATGCTCCGGCAAGCTTCAAATCAAAAGTGTGGAAACACTTAGGGTTTCCGTGTATCGACGGCTTATATATCTCATTTTGTTTATATTTTAAAATGAAGGTCTATCGAATCGAAATAATCGAATTGTGGTACAAATATCGAGATACGTATCGAATCGTGGGTAAATTGTATCGTGACAGCTGTAGTTTGTTGCGATATTTCTATAAAGCATGGCATGTTTCATTTTCAGACACTAGGAAGACAAGATGGGGGTACAATGGAGTGGGTCATTGAGGATACGATAGGCAATTGGTGGAGACCCAACTTTGAACCACCACAGGTAACTCATTGTGTAGTTGTGTCATGTGGTATACAAGGTTTCAGTGATTGTTTCAAATTCTTTGATTTCTACAGAACTCAACTACACCTACCACCGCATAAACTACAGCTCAGAAAACTGAAAATGTTAGGTTTTAAATATTTCCTTATATACACGTTAAAATTCTTAATTAAATACTAGTTTAAAATTCAATTATGGGCGAAATTGGGAATATATTCCTCAGGTTTTGGTCATTTTGGGAAAATAAGGCACATTTTAGCAACGGGAAACAGCCTGTCTTCGGCCGTATAGCTGACTCCTATATCTAAAACAAATTTAAGGGGAGGTTACTTTGTATATGAAAAACTAAAGTGGAACTCTCTGGTGCTGTGTCTGCAGTGGGACAGGGATCCTTAATATATAAATTATTTAAAGTGCTTTATACTGAAAGTGGTGTTTTTTTTGGTCAGGCCTTAGCGTGGCTAGGCTGGGATTTGATCCCTGGACTTCAGGCTGTTACATTATCCCGCTATCCGACTGAACTACCAAGTCAATAAAATTGTCTTTGCCTAAATTTGCTACAGTTATATCCAAACGGAAGTTAAAGGGAGGTTACTGCATATAGGAGAAAAATGTCAGTGCAGTGGGACAGGGAACCTTAAGAAATATAATTTGCAGATGTTAATTGTTTTGTTTTGTTTATTACTACAGTATCCCTATATACCAGCACACATCACAAAGCCAAAGGAACACAAGCGACTCTTTCTGGTTCAGTTACCAGAGAAAGGTAAGACAAAAGATGTGTTTTCTTCATGTCCTGTGTAATTGTTTAGTTTTACAGTGTTAATATTTCGTTCGGATGAACATTTAATATATTAATTGTGTATGAATTAGTTGGCAATAGTAGCCTATACAGTCTATTTTTTAGGATGATTTGTGGGCCCCATTCCCAATGAAAAAAAAATACACAAATTTCTTTTTGATCAACTAGCAGAGCTTATCACAAAATTCAAATGTTTTATGAATCATTGATCAGACATTGATGAACATCAAATGTTAATGTTTTGTAAATTAAAATCTTCATGGATATTAATATTATCGTTGTAAGAATAATCACCAAAATAAGGCACACAAAAATTCAGATTCACAGTGTCTAGGTTTGTTTCTTTGTTTCTTGTTTTTTTCATCTAAATTATTTTACATTTCAGCTCTATTTGCTGTACCCAGAAATTACAAATTGGTGGCGGCTCCGTTATTTGAATTGTACGACAACTCGGCCGGATACGGACCAATCATATCCAGTTTACCACAGGCCCTAAGCAGGTAGGAACAGTCTCAAAACATTTTAACAAAACAGTTTATTTTTCAGATACAAGATCATATACGAGGCCTTATCATTTTATCATGTAACGGAGGTCATTATTTTTCAATGCCTCCATTAAGAGTTTTTGAACCTTGGACCTCTGGTTAAATCTTTCAATCTGCCCGATGAGCTAGAGAGAAAATCTCCCTAGCTGAGTCGGTAGGTAGGAAGAGGCTAGTATTTTACTAGGTTGACATACTCCGCATCCAGGAAAGAACTCTTCCTGACTTTTCCATGGGTCCTAGTGATTGTTTTGAAAGTTTCGCTGAGTATTTTTGTCACTATTTCCCAGGTTCCTATATGTGGGAACCAATGTGGCAGAGGTTACAGTTTTTCCATGCCTTTGCTAGGAGTCGTACCGGGGACCTCTGGTTGATAGCTTTTTGCTACACCGAATCAGCTGAAGAGATATTCTCTCTAGCCGAGTAGGTAGGAAGCGGCCAGTATTTTACCAGGGAGACATATATTCTTCCCCCAGTTAAGAACTCGTCCTGAATGGCTTAAAGAGAAATTCTAAAGCCAAGTTGATAGGAAGTAACTATTTTTTTTACCAGAGGGACAACAAAATAAAAAATATATAGGTGAGAGCCCTGGGGAAGAGAGAGATACAAATACTATAATTGATTAAAAAAACATGATGGAAGGTTTTAACTCATTCACCCCTACATATTTAAACTGGACTTGCCCAGTCTATGATTTGGTAAGGTTCAAATGTGATTTTAGGGGTGAATGGGTTAAAGGACATTGTGAACATTGGCATTGTGGACCCCAACGAAAAATATTTTGGGGGTGCACAGGTGGGAGTCACAAAAAAGGGTCTCTTTTCCCCATTTTTTTTTTTCTGTAACTGCCCTGAGGAAACTTGCAAAAGCATGGTCTTGAGTATGAGTTATGTCCCCTTGTCCACAGATGAAAATTAAGGCCCTGTGTCTTGTTTGGTAGCTGTAGGGACATTTGTAGGTATTGATTTCCTTGGTGGATGATAATGAGTAGAAGATTGTTTTAAGTAAAATGAATATCCTTGAGACATGGCTAACTCCATGTTAAGTTTTAACATAAAACTAGGTCGGCAGATGGCGACTACCTGTCTTTGAAGACATCATTTAATTTACAGCCTAAACATCCAGTGATCCCATTGGTTCTGGCTTATCACATTTTGACATAATAATTCCTGTATCCTGTGTGAAAACGAGGATACACAGTATCTGTATTTGACTTTGGTAATGATAAATATTTTTGCATACTTTGCACTGTAGTGGTGTACCGATAATCGGAAACATCGATTAAATCAAGTTTGAAAACGGTCCAATCCAATAATCGATTTTGCTGATGACAGATTGATTATGTTCAATTGTATTGTAATCCTATTCTAACTTGAGCAGACGCAACATCTGCACCGACATTATGAATTTGGTGGTTAATATAAAAATGGAATTGTATATGGTACAAAAGCGGAATTGCTTTTCGTTGCGTCACTTGTATTCGTTTCGTATAATACATATATACATCCGCATTTTGTATCAACCGAAACCGCCATATTTGAAAGCTAGTAAAGTGAAGCTAGCAGAGTGTTTTTCGTGATAAATTGTTATTAATATGCTATGTTATAGTGATTAGAGAATTCAAATGGGGGTAATTAATACCTAAACTTAGAGTACACCTAGTTGTCATCAAGTTTTGAGTCAAAAAAGACATATACTTGAATCCTTCCTTCCGCCTAGATTTCGGAAACGAGTATTTTCTCATCAGTCGGCACAATTACATCAGGTAATAAATCGTCTGGCCTCTTATGTTACACGAGTAGGTCATTTAAACTGATAATCGATTATGGAGTTCCGATTATCAATCTTGAATATTTGACCGATTCCATGTGTTTTTACCAAGTTTTGAAATATGTGGTTGACTTCAAAAGAGTAGCCAGTTGAATGCTCACTCGCTGTATTGTTGACCTATACACAAACTGAAAAAAAACCATCTGGTTTAAATAAAGTTGATGAGTAGCAAGCTACTTTTGACAGCAAATGGCTTTTAATGAGAACACTGCTTTGACAATGAAGTATGTTTATAAACTAAAATGAGATTAAAAAAGCTATTAGTCATTCTTGTTGGTCTGGATTGAAGTGGGCAATGGGTTCTAATTTAGGGGGAAACTGGAGTACCCGAAGAAAACCCATATGGATTTTAATGAGAACACTGCTTTGACAATGAACTAGAAATAAGATGAAGCAATGGTAGGACTACAAGAGTTGTGCCCCTTTCACTGAAATGCTGTACTCGCAATTGCCACTTAATTGAGATGTCACATTAATTGTAAGGAATCGGTGACGGGACTTAACAGTATTATGGCGCCATCTTGTAAGCTTGGGACGTCTCAGACACTCAGCTATAAAGTATAACAGGGCTTCCACTCAGCTATAAAGTATAACAGGGCTTCCACTCAGCTATAAAGTATAACAGGGCTTCCACTCAGCTATAAAGTATAACAGGGCTTCCACTCAGCTATAAAGTATAACAGGGCTTCCACTCAGCTATAAAGTATAACAGGGCTTCCACTCAGCTATAAAGTATAACAGGGCTTCCACTCAGCTATAAAGTATAACAGGGCTTCCACTCAGCTATAAAGTATAACAGGGCTTCCACTCAGCTATAAAGTATAACAGGGCTTCCACTCAGCTATAAAGTATAACAGGGCTTCCACTCAGCTATAAAGTATAACAGGGCTTCCACTCAGCTATAAAGTATAACAGGGCTTCCACTCAGCTATAAAGTATAACAGGGCTTCCACTCAGCTATAAAGTATAACAGGGCTTCCACTCAGCTATAAAGTATAACAGGGCTTCCACTCAGCTATAAAGTATAACAGGGCTTCCAGGAAGATTGACAACCAATAACAGTTGCTTATTGTTGCAATTTTTTTACCTTCAAGAGAATCACACCTGGGCTACATTCGCATATCCCGGTTGAAACGGTACCTGTGGCGCAGAAATTTTCCGCGATAAACGAACACACTTGGACCGTTCTATAAGCAGAGCTAAAAATCCATAGTTTCGGAGAATAAAAAACAATATATCAAGAATATTATGTCCTTCTCTCAGGCATCCACTAAATTACATAACGTATCTTAAAAATTACATGTGACTTGACATTGTTTAAGAAAGAAATAACGCAAATTGGCAATAGTCAGCATTTTAGTTTCGGTCAGGTACGTCTGCACCCCTCAATCTACACATACCAAATTTTCCTGAGGTCAGCCTCGGTCCAAATCTGTACTTGTCGTTTTCTTTACAGGTTCAACCGTTTCAACCGGATAAGCGAATGTAGCCAAGGCTTTTCAATAAAAATGTAGTTACTCATGCAAATTGTACTATTATCTGTGTCATTGTGAATTACTGCAAAACCCTTTTTTTTTTTGACATTAAATAGGAACGTTATTGATACCTCATTAATGGGTAAATGTTTTAACTTCTGCACAAGTTATGTTTTAAACATAACCTGAGTAAATTGATGGATCTTAACTTGTATTAATCTGTTTTGGAAGAAAACTAATGTCGCTATGAGATAGGCTTGCAAAAATGCACACTGGAGTTGCATGAAGGAAATATGTAAGATGTCTTTTATGTTCACTTCCCTACTCTTTCCTTCTGGCAGCGTCTCCTTAAGCACTCATCTTCATATGACATTTTGACCGTTACGAGAACATTTCAATCCCAAACAAACAAAGGAACATCATTATAATAATAATAATAGACATTCTTTATTGAGGCTAATCTTCCACATGGTCCTCTAACAGTGAATTCTTCATTTTTAGGTCACCTGAGCTTTGCTCAAGTGACCTATTCCAATCGCTTGTCGTCCGTCGTCCGTCGTGCGTCGTGCGTAAACTTTTACATTTTCAACTTCTTCTCAAGAACCAGTGGATGGATTTTTTTCAAACTTGGTCACAATCATCCTTGGTAGATGAGGCTTCAAAATTGTAAAATTGGGATTCCTACCCCAACCCCTGGGGCCAGGGCGGGGCCCCAAAGGGAAAATTTTCCAATATTTCAAAAATCTTCTTCTCCAGACTCAGAGGTACTACAGTTATTTTCTCTACGTGGAGAGAAAGATCATCAGGGGCTTTACTTAAATTGTAAATTTCAGGACCCCCGAGCTATCCGTTCTCCCTTGGGGAGGGGGTAAAGTTTACTATAGTTTATATAGGGAAATAACACTTTTGGGTATATTTTGACAACTTTCTGTAGGAAATTATTTTTACTTGGTGAGAATTATCCTTGGAGGTAGATGGTTTCAAATTGTAAAATTGAGATTCCTACCCCGACCCCTGGGGCCAGGGCGGGGCCCCAAAGGGAAAATTAATCAATATTTCAAAAATCTTCTTCTCCAGACTCAGAGGTACTACAGTGATTTTCTTTACGTGGAAAGAAAGATCATCAGGGGCTTTATTTAAATTGAAAATATCAGGACCCCGAGCTATCCGTTCTCCCTTGGGGAGGGGTTAACGTTTAATATAGTTTATATAGGGAAATAACACTTTTCGGTATATATTTTATCCATTTTCAGCAGAAAATTGCTCAAACTTAGTCAGAATCATCTTGGGTAAATGAGAGTTTTACTTTGTAAAATTGGGATTCCTGCCCCATCCCCAGGGGCTAGGGCGGGGCCCCAAAGGGAACATTTACCAATATTTTCAAATTCTTATCCATTGATGACATGACAAGTATTGTATTTCACTTAGTTTACATGCTGATTTCCACATCACATCTAAACAATAAAATAAAGCTACCAGTACCTATGATATAACTCAGGTGACCGCTAAGGCCCTTGGGCCTCTTGTTTTGGTTCCACCATGTGCTACAATAAGACTCTTTCATCCCAGGGGTCTAAAATAGGAAAATCCCGAGGGTGGAATTTCCCTATCCTACACCCCAGGGCAGGAAAGAATATTTTTCTCTCATTCCAA